GTCACCCTATAAAAAAACACACACACACACACACACACACACACACACACACACACACACACATACACACACACACACACACAGACACGCTGGGGTACTGGGGCAGGCCCCGTGCTCCCTGGTTTGGCGATGCAGCCGGAAGCCATGTGGTGCAGGACCAGTGCGGGGGTAGAAAGGTAGGGAAATGGCTGGGGGTGGAGTGGGGCTGGGCTTCTGTGTCCTGCTGATGACTCCCCCTGGGTCCTATTGCCCCTGACTCCTGCCAACTTTGACAGGCAGCCAGGAGCAGATAAATGTTTTCTAAATTTGTTAGGGGTCCCGCAGGCAGCATAGAATGGTCTGATGGGCTGGATATGACCCATGGGCCATATTTTGCCCACCCCTGCCCTAAACCAAGTCTCAAATAGCCACAGAGACATGCCCCAGGGCAAACTTCCTGGTTGCATTTCCAGATTTGGAGCATACTTGAGGCAGTAGATTGGGCAGAACATGCTCAACAATGACCTAGACAGAACATATTACCACCTCAGTGTAGGCATACTCTAATTTCACTAAGCATAGGCTGCTGAAGGGAAGAAACAAGGGTCCAGTCTCCAGTCTGACTTGCAGGGTAAGAAATGGTTGGCATATATGAGGCAATGTACCCAGATCCAACTCTAAGAATGGGAGGATTATAAAATTCTAATGCTGAAATAGGTAAGGGCTTGAAGCTTAACACCTGAAGGGGTTAAGTCCAAGAGACCCAAAAGAGACAGAAGAGCAATCTACCCTATAACTGTGACACTTCCTGTACAGGAATTCAGTTAAAAAATACTTAGTTGGATAACATAATGTTAGCAAAAATAAATTGAAATATGCTAGTTCTGCAGCAAATTTCACTATATACCTGTTAAAACTCCTGTTAGAATAAATAGTTCCTGATACAACTCCAGATTAGCAAATTTATTTCATGGTTGAATTTACTTCATTCACTTTGGGTTTGCTCCATGCTTTTAGGTAAGTAGAAATCATGTCATAAGCCATATTTTTCTTAGTAAGAAAAAGGAAAGTGCTCTTGTTTTAGAAATGTTAATTTGTTTGCCTATTGCAGTCTCATTGATTCTTCTTGTCCATTACCTAGCATATTGCAAACAAGTTATTCCAGTTGCTTTTTCCAGATTTCCTGTACTGATTTTGTCTTCTTTTTTTCTCATAGGTACAAATTGGGTAGGCCAAATTATAACTGACTTGGTAACAACATGTGCAAAGAATAATGGGCATGAAACAAATAGTGCATTAATATTCTGTAATTACAGCACATTAAGTTTAGTACCTGTAAAAACAGGTACTAAATGTGCAGTAATCAGCACTACTGTGCAGTAGAACCAGTGCAAGTCTTTAGGTGTTGCTAATGTGCAGTACATTCATTCTAATAGCACGGCTTTTGCCATGATGCACTAACGTGCAGCTGAATTAGTCTACTGTGCTGTTAGTGTCTCATGTAGACAAATAATTGTGTATGAAATATGCATTGCAGAGAATGAACTGTGCCTGACTTGCAGGGTAGTCACCTACCAATAATGTAAGGAATGGTTAAGTCAGATACCAGGCCCAGGCTCCCACTTAGAGGAGTGCAGGTTTGGCTGCTGCCACCACTCTTGGCTTGGCACCCACTTACCAAGGCACAGAAACTGCTTGTTACACTTCTGCTGTCCACAATGAATGCTTTGTTCACAATAAATTCTGAACATACTGTCAAAACTGATGGAAAAGGTAGATTAATGAATTGAGCAGAGTACAAATTCTTAACAGCTACATGAGACTTGTGAGCACTAAATAAACATGTTTCTCTATGTGGTGTAAGAAAGAGGCTAATGCAAAATCAAATACAAGGAATAAATAACAGAACAAAAAAATTCCCCACCTGAGTGTTTAATCCCCAGTCTAATACCTGGAGCATTGAAACCAAAATATTTCAGTCCTTCAACCCATTATTGTTTTCCCCTCTGAAATTATGTTTATGAACCATATTTTCCTTCATATATTTTTTTCCTTTACTGAACTCTACAACTGTGAAAGCTTTTTTCTTTTTTTTAATCCATGAAAGAGAGAGAGCATGTACAGGACTAGTACAAAAGTTTACATACTACTTTGCCAATATGCCTTGGTCCTGAGCCAACAGGGCCAGTTGTAGAGCTGGGTAAGTAGCATCATCCCATGTCTAGCCAGTCCTTGCTGAGGCTCTACACAAGGCCAATTATTACTGATGGATCCTGTTCAAAGGTTTCTGTCAAGCTGAATCAGAATTCTGATGTTGGTCATGAACTTGGATCTGAGGGAATGTCTGTTCTCCAGAGCGCCCCAAGGGATGACAAGGTTGAACGGTCACAAACTCCTCCATGACCATTTCAGGCTGGACATAAGGAAGAACTTCTTTACTGTCTGAGCCCCCAAGGTTTGGAATAGACTGCCGCTGGAGGTGGTTCAAGCACCTACTTTGAATGCCTTCAAGAGACATCTGGAAGTTTATCTTGCTGGGATCCTATGACCCCTGCTGACTTCCTGCCCCTGGGGCAGGAGGCTGGACTCGATGATCTTCCAAGGTCCCTTCCAGCCCTAATGTCTATGAAATCTATGAAAATTTTTGGGATGTTCTTCTTCTCTCCATTACTGTCTTCTTCATGTACCATCATTCTACCAATCCAGTCAGAACCTTTTCTCTTCTTCTAATTCCCGGTTCCATCTATTTTAGTATCAATAATCTTCCCCTTCCTTATAGCTTCCCTTGTTGACCTAATTGGGACTGCCTAGCTTGTTGTCTTTCCCAGTTGGATTCTGCTCCTTACTTCTAGCTTTGATTATTTCTTTAGGGGTAAGGATGAACTCAGCCTTTATGTACTCTGCACTGGATACCAATTCTCTTTCCAGATCTTCACACTTATGTGGGGGAGGAGGGGAGGTGCTATAGTTTAGAGACACTCAAATATGTAATCCTCTTTTTGGTCACAGAAAAAAACATAAAATTTAAAAGCTATGAAAATGGATACCAGTCCATCATAATTTTCTACTCATACACCACCAAAAGGCATAGGCAGAGCTACCAATAGGTAATATTTCACTAAGTAGAGATTTTGCTTTCCTTCTTTTTTTCATTTTTATTAAAGCGGATGAAGAAATTACCTTCTAGAAGAATTATATTTACTCATCTCATGCCTCACAATCTACCTGAGTCAATCTTCAAGAATAAAACGAAGGTGAGTTTTCATTTGGTATCATGAAGGCATACTCATTTCAACAGAACTTTGAAGCCACTTTTAACTTCTATTGCCACATGTACAGTCTCCATAATAGGTACAAAGTGCTCAGCTCAACCACTTCAGTGCCTGGTCTTTGTTCACAGGGCAGCTACTTCATATGACACCAAACTACAATGAACAGCAGTTAAGAGAAATGAGAGAAATCAAGAAAAGAGAAATTATTCTGTGATTAAGGCATAATTACACAGTTTCCTGTGGGTGGCACCTAACTGTGGTATTTCAAGTAGGGTTTCAAAGATGGGTGAAGCTTAAGGGTGCCCCACTTTTTTTTTCTAACCTGTCTCTTGATTTGCCTCTTTTATAATTTAATATGGTCTCTTTAAATAGAAGCATTTACTCACCATAAAGGGAAGAAACACACAGGTGACAAAGTTCAGAGAGGCTGCATCTACACATGCGCTTAACTGTGGAGTGGACTAATTAGCTGTGGAGTAAAGTGTCACCGTCTCTTGCAACACTATTAGGCTGCAGTAAAATAATTAACACTGTGATAAGATAGTACTGTCAGAGACAGAACTAGCTTACAGCAGGGTCATTCACTGTGATTAAATGCATGTATAGACACTGACTTCGTAAACTGCCCCCAATCAGCCCAGCCAGCAGGGGGCCAGATTCCTGCCTGCTGCCTAGCCACATGGCTCTGCACTTTCAGCACCTTTGTGCCCTAGCTAGTCCCTCCATCACTCAACACTGCCATCCAGAGCCTGGGGCTGACTCCTCATATCCTTGGCTTTGGTATAAACTGCTTTGCCTTGGCTCCAATTGCTACTGTCTCCGGTGCACATTTCAGGCTGCACCCATGGGCAGTTTACTCTGGCTCAAACTGGTCTGAAGTTTATTGCTTCAAATTTATTGCATGTGTAGATGCACCCAGAATGTGTATTATTAATTTGTATTATCTCAGTCACATTTCAGAGAAAGTAAGCAAAACATACAGGGTACAGCTAAATGAGACACTGTGTTGCTGTACAAATGAGCTACTGTGCATAGCTCATTGCTATGGTGACATAGCATCACCAGTAATGAGCTGTGTTGGCAATGCTACTGTGTGGTAGTAATGACCTATTGTATAGTAGCTTGTTGCTACTGCACACTAGCTGCTAAAAGTAACCGTGTGACAATGGGACTGTACAGTAATGCCAGTTACTGGGCAGTTATTTAGTACTTGGTTAACCAATTATTAAATGATAGGCAGTAAAAACTGCACAGTTGGCTGATCATGTAGATCTGACTACTGAATGGCAGTGAAAGAATAGCTTTCTCCCCATGTAAGATTGAACTATTATTTCTATGCCTAATATATGTATGAGATCCCAGAAATCACCAATATTGTAGTTAACCTGAAAAATTTCCTATCTCCTTTACTGCAATCTTGTTATATCTAGTTCCAGAAATATATTTAATTAATTAACACTTTAATTTTCTAGATCTTGCTGCTTCTTCGCAATCCAAAAGATGTAGCTACCTCTTATTACCATTTTTCCAATGGCTTGTCTCCTCTTCCATCCTATGAGACCTGGGATGAATTCTTCACAGCTTTCATGACAGGAAAAAGTAGAGTTCTTTTCTTTCTACTAATGTCAGTAATGTAATAGGTAGACTGTGTATGGAAACAAGGATTTTATTAGACATTTCCACAATGATATTTTTATTATAACATAAAATTACAGATACTTTTTCAAAATATCAGGTGTGATGTATTAACATGTGATCTGGGGCAGAAGGTGTTTTAATCACCAGCAATTGTAGCAAGCTTGGAGATATGTTAGAACTTTGGTTCTGAAAAAAACCATACAAATGCTAATAGTCCTGAAATGTGTATCCCTCTACCCCTGGGAGAACAAAAAAAGGTTTCCTACTATGGGCTCAGAAATAATCCTAGAGCTCCACAGCTCCACAGAACAAAGATTAATGGGTTATACTCTCATATGGATATGTATATATATAGGAGTGTGTAGGAGAAATGAGGATACAGTAATGTGGAAAAATCTTTTTGTGGGATGATGCACTGAAATGAGCTAGGCCAGATACTTAGACTTCTATGCTGATCACATCAGTTAACTGTGCAGTGAAGACATTAACTTAGGGTAGAATTTGCTTGTTTAACAACCTTCCTGGTTGTTTAACTGCCAAAAAATGCCACTTATGCACAGGTTGGAATTCTATACAGGTTGCACATAGCCCTGCGCACATGGAAGACTATGCACGGCTACTTAGTCATACAGACTGGGTATGCACAGTAGTAGGCAAAGCCCTTATAACCTTAGCACAATCTAGAATTCATAAGAAAGTATACACTGATGACCTTGGCTTCTAGACCTCTGATAGCTTTCTATGACCAAGGCAGGTTTCAACTCTATCTGTTCTCTGGTGAATATAGTTTTAAAGCAGACACTTCAAAGACTGCAATGGACAGAAGATAATCTAAAGCTATCACAGCAAGTCTTAACTTTAAGGAACAGACCTAAACTCACCCATTTTTCTCTTATAATTAATTTAATAATCATTTTATTCTGTGATTTCCTTTAGTGCCCTGGGGCTTCTATTTTGACTATATTTTTGAATGGAACAAACATATTGATGATGAAAACATTATGACAATAACCTACGAAGAGCTGAAAGAGGTGAGTTTCTACTGTTTAAAAAATATTGTATTCTCCAGGCAGCATTGGTGACTAAAGTAGTGTTTAGATAATAATTATATATGCACGTCAGTCAAATGAACACTGACGCAATATACCATAAAATATGAATTCCAGTTGGGCAAGAATATTTAGATTTTAATTTTTTTTTGCCAAAATGCCCTTGAGCAAAATGAACTAATTATTTTTCAAAGTTTTTGTTAGAAATGTCCTTGTTGTCTAAAAAGTTCTGTAGTTAACATGAATCTTTGTGAGGTCCAATCCCATAATACTTCCTTATAGAACTCTATATGCATTCTATAGTATATACCAAAATAAATTGCAATTCATTTCTTCTGTGACTTCATTGATATAGATCTGGATTTTGCTAGCTTTACTCATATTGGATGCAATTCAGTTCTTCGAAGAGAACTAGGACTGCTTAATCACACCTTAAGTGTAATGTGTAGAGGGGGCCTATATGTTCTTCATGAAAACATAGGGCCACCAAGAATAAATTGAAAGTGGAAATACCACAATTAATCAGAATGATACATTTTGTATGAATAAAATTCATTGTGTTACCTTCCCTTTTTCAGAATCGGGCTATGGGTGTCAAAAAGATAGCTGAATTCTTTGAGCTGTCTCTGACTGAAGAGGAGCTTCAAGGTGTGGTAGATAGGAGCAGCTTCCAGGCTATGAAAGAGAATTCTGAGAAAACGCATGGAGCATTTGGCAATGTTCTCTTCCGCAAAGGTGATTATCCAAAAAGCTCCAGAGACACGAGAAACAATCTTCCAGTAGCTTTAGCAAACCATTCCCAGATTCTCTTTTTAGATTTAATGTTGGAATTTATTATCATTTGTATGTCAGTGGCTGCATCTACATGTGCAATTAGCATGGCTGTATAAACTCCAGGGTGCAGCATTTACACGTGTGCCCAGGACCACATCAGGTTGAGCTGGAGCAATGCAGCCCAAGCTGACAGAGGACCTAGGTGGTCAGCCTGCCAGCCTGGAGCTGCTCCACCCCAGCAAAATGTGTTGTGGAGGGGCTGGCTGGGGCATGATGGTGTTACAGTGTGGAGCTAGCGAGCAGGCAGCCCCTGCACTGTAGCACCCTCATGCCCCAGCCAGCTCTAGCCACTGTCTACACATGCATTGCTGTGCATCAGATAATTCCACTATAGGATAGTACAGATAGTTGGCTAATACTATCCTATGGTGGAGTTTATTAGTTTACTCTGGACTAATAGCATTGCACATGTAGATTTTGATGCTTTATTGCGGAGCTAATTTAGTCAATTCCACAGTAAAGTATATGTGTAGATGTCCCCAGTATTTATAAGTTTTATTATTAGAGTGATTTTAAAATGTAGTCAAGAATCAAGACCCTAATGTGCTAGGCAATGTATTAAAAAAAAATAAAAGAAGGTTCCTGACACCATTAGCTTACAGTCTAGGTATAAAACAAAAGACAACAGATGAATACAGATAGGATGGGGAGCACTAAGAGATAATGCGATCATATTGATGAGTATGACAGACAATGGCCTCATCATGTCAGTGCTTTATCCATTGTCAGATTTTCTGTAGGAGTGTTTTAAGGAGTGATTTGAAGAAGATAATGAGGAAACATTACAAATATTCCCAGGAAGCTCCTCCCAAGCGTATGGTATAGCATGGAGGAAAGCACAAAAGTTCTTGACTTGAAAACAAATGGACAATGGAAGCTGAAGTCATTGGTCATGTGAAGGTGGGAGTTGACCACTTAGTACTGACTGAGAGATGGAGTGGAGATAGTCTGTTAAGCTGAAAAAGCCTTGGAAATGGAAAGCAGCAGATTATGGCCAAAGTGATGATTACAGGGATCTCAGTTTTCTGTTCACTATGGGAAAATGCAGATTTTCTCTTTTTAAGGAGAAAAATGCACATTTTCCACTCTGTCCTGCCATGCCCCTTTTCCCATGCACTGCTCTGTAAAAGGCTCCAGAGGGAGGAGGGCAGCAGGGCAGGGAGCCCTAAGCCTGCAATAGGCTGCCCGTATTTGCCCCTTCCTCATGGTCTCCACTTCAGCTGTGCCACCTGTGTGGGAGGGGGAGCTGGACTCCATGCTCTGCTCTGGCTGCAGCAGGTGGAAGCTAGGGCATGGGTGGTGCTGGGGCGGGGTAGGGAAGTCAAGGGGCCGTGGACTTGGGCCCCTGGCCTTGTAGCCCTGGGAGTTGGGGGACCCCTCTGGCAGGGTTGGGGGCAGAGGGCTCTGGGTCAGGAGTGAGAGACACTGGCAAGGCCAGGGGGCTGTGGGTGGGAAGTGAGGGGCACCAGCAAGGCTGGGGCGGGCGTAGGTCGGGAGCAAATCATAGAATCAAAGAAATGATGGGCTTGAAGGGACTTTGAAAGATCATCCAGCCCAACTTCCCTGCTCTGGGTAGGAATACTGCTGAGATCATATTATCCCAGCAAGGTGTCTGTCCTGTCTCCTCTTGAAGACCTCCAACGTTGGGGACTGCACCACCTCCTTGGGAAGTCTATTCCAGATTCTGGTCACCCTTACCATAAAGAAGTTCTTCCTTACATCCAACCTGAAATCATCCTCTAATAGTTTATGGCGTTTGCTCCTTACCTTCCCCTGGGGTGCCCTAGTGAACAGGTTTTCTCTCAGTTCCCAATATTCACCCATTATATACTTATAGATGGCCACCAAGTCCTCCCTCAGTCTTGTCTTCCGCAGACTGAACAGTCCCAGATCCCTTAGTTTTTCCTCATAAGCTTTGTCTTCCAGGCCCTAAATAATTCTTGTGGGCCCTCTCTGGACCCTTTCAAGATTCTGCACATCTTTTTTGAAGTGCAGTGCCCAGAGCTGAACCCAGCACTCCAGCTGGGGTCTCAGCAGTGCCAAGTAGAGAGGCAGTGTCACTTCCTTAGCCCTGCTCATGATGCATCAGCTAATGCATCCCAGTATGCTATTAGCTCTGTGGACTACAGCATTACACTGGTAGGTCATGTTCATCCTGTGATCAACCATAACACCATAGTCCCTTTCTGTCATTGTGCTGGCCAGGACATCTCCTCCTAAACTATATTCATGTCACTGGTTACTTCTCCCAAGATGTGCATTTATCTTTATTGAACGGCATCTGGTTCCACTCTGCCTACCTTTCCAGACTGTCCAGGTCCATAGTTTCATAGTTTCATAGTTTCTAGGGTCGGAA